GAGCTGTCATGCCTTTTATCATAAACAGCTCACCGTCTGCTCGGGATTTGGTGAGAATGTTGCCGCCGTTCTCCTCGGGTTTTAGTGGGCCTTTCTTGTTGTTTCCTTCCAAAAAGAGTTGAGGAGACTTTTGTCTTGCTCCTATAAAATTAGGAGAAAACCTGTACTTGTGCTTTATCTGAAAGCGAGAAATCACCGAGTAAGAGTTTGAAAATGCTGAGAGTGAGTGTAATCATGAATCATAAGTTGTGTGCTTACCTTAACTAATGTACCATTTGATGATAAATGCTTTAGTCTTACTGCCACATGCCTTTTCATATTCGCCGGAGTCTTGAAATTCTCCTGAAATTGTTGCAGCTACTAAGTATGCAGCAAAAATCCCCAAAGAAACATAGAATTCCAAATGCTAGAGTTACCTCTATATACAGAAAGATCGATGTTCTGTCAGAACCGCGTGGTTCCTTCAAGTTGGTAATTGCCTCCAAGATGATCTTATCCAAACTACAAGACCAGACAATAGCTCAAGATCTAATCTTTATGAACTCAACACAAATGATCAAAGTCTTTTATGTGGTCCATGAGTCAGGACTTAGCATGAACCAAACCTTGTAATTGATTTCTTTGAAGCATAAGATCGTGGCGATCCACCACCAGAACCTCCAGGAGATGTTGGATTTTCCCGTTCTTCGTCATTAGCCAAAGGCACAATGCTAAGAGTTGTAGCGTTGTTATCATCCTGTTTAGGAGCCGGCAGATTCCTTTTAAGCGCAAGTTTAGCCTTCTTCCTCGAACCCCATAACGCTGTGACGCTTATATTTCTCCACTTGTCCTGTTACACTTTGAACTATCAAGATTAACCCGAAACACGTAATCACAAACTCAAAGAAAGCAGATATCTTAAGCCAAAACCCATCAATTAAGTTCCAAGTTTTCTCGTTTTCGAGTTCTAAATGTTTTACCTTGAGATCAACATTCGAGCGAGACTTTAGAATTAAACTAAACTCAGAATCCGAGAGTATTGTACGCCATTTCCCAATCCCATGCTTTATCACTCCAGCTTTAAGAG